ATTGATATTTCAACACATGTATGCAGCATGCACTGGTCAAACGATCTCCTTATCTCTTTGACATTTATGTTTGAAACTTTCCTATTGGATCATTTCTTTATGTTTTCAGTCTTGAGCTTCTTCCTTTTAATTCTTCACAAACTATATAGGCTGTTAAGACTACAGTTTACCCAATTGTGCTGTGGAACAGTATGAGATACTCCTTCTGTCTGTGTTTTGATACCCAGTAACCAACCTCTATTCCTCCTCCTCCTACAATTCTGAAACTCTAGTGATCAGTATACTACAATCTGACTTCTTTAGGTTTCTACACACATGGGAGATCATGTGGTATTTATCTTTCTGTTTCTGGTTTATTTAACAAAATGTACTTCAGTTCCATCAATTTTGCTGCAAACGATAGGATTTTATGCTTCTTTATAAGTGAATAATAATTGTGTGCCTACATCAATCACATTTTCTTTATAAATATATATTGTAAAAATTAATTTATTTTTATGTGTATGAGTATTTTGCTTGTGTGCAAGTGCACCACATGCATGCAGTGCCTGCACAGGCTAGAAGAGGGCATTGGATTCCCTGGAACTGGAAGTACAGATGGTTGTTAGACACCATGTGGGTGCTGGAAACTAAATTTGAGTCCTCTGCAAAGAGTAACCAGTGCTCTTAGTTGTTGAGCCATCTCTCCAGCACTCAATCACATTTTCTCAATCTATCAGTGGGCATCTAGGATGATTCCATACCTTAGCTATTGTGAATAGTGCTGCAATACTGCTTAATAATCTTTTCTTCTGCAATGTCTAATCTATTGCAAATGTTTCAAGCTAGCCTGGTGTGTTCTCCAGGGGTTTTGGTTCCTCCAACAGGCAAGGCCTGCTGCAGAGAATTGACTGTGGAGAGTTAGCCGTGAAAGGAGGGGCTTGTGGCACCATCTTGGGACAGGAACAACGAGCTGCCAGGGATGTGCGGTGGCAGGCATGGGGAACACGCAGCAGCCGGGTGTACTCAAGGACAGAATGGCCTGGCATTTATGGACCTGGGGTGAGACCACTGGCCCCTGAGGTGTGGGCAAAAGCTAGTGGTGACTATAGGCGTGCTGCGGGAGCGATCTGATATGGCAGGCTCTGAGCTGCGGTGCAGTGCTGCACGGCACAGAGCTGAGTGGCATGGAGCTAGGCACTGGGTGCTTGTTTTTTTGTAAGTTACTCCTGTACCAGCCATGATAATAATGAATGCACATAAAGATATGTTATATGGTTTGCCTGATAGCACAAGAGACCCAGAGAGAACTCTGGTGACAAAACTGGCATAGTCTGGCCTGGATAAATGAACCACAGCCTTGGAGATGTGGGTCTGGGAAATCAGTGCTGTTCCCACTGCCTCTGTGGCAGGTCAGCTGGACTCTGATTCCCAAATCCAGGAGCAGCTGCCAAGAACCCAGGGGGGAAGGCAATCAAACCCCATATGCTTAATGGGGTTAGTGATAGTCACATGGGTTATACAATGGATTATAAAATCTGTAACTAAAAAGAGGCCAGCCATGCAGAAGCATGGGCCACAGCCATGTTGTAAATGTAGGGGTACCTTGCGGATATGGGAAGATTTGTTAAAGGTTATTCAGAGGCTAGAAAAACTTTTACCCCCAACAGAGCACCCAGAGACGGGGGCATGGCCACTTTGCATAATAAAAGATGTGCCCCAGGCAGGGGAAGCTGAAAAGGCTAGGGAAGTCCTGGCAGATCCAGTTGCAGAGCTTGACGCTTCAACTTGTGTAAGGTCCAAGGACTCAGAGGAAGAGACAGATAATAGTAAAAAGGAAAATGACCTAAAAATAAAAGTAGCTAAAGCTGCCCCTCAGATTCAACTATTGATACAAAAGGAAAAAAAGCTAACAGTGCTGTAGCTAGGAAATATTCCATACTAGAACTGTTAAAATTATGAAAAACTTACAAGCAAGCAATCAGAGAGCCCCCTAGCCACATGGCTTGTGAGAGTATGGGACATGGGAGCAAATGACATCAGTCTAAGTCCTTCAGAAGCTTCACAGCTGAGTTATGTAATCACCCATCCATCCTTGTGATATAGGCTGTTCAACCTAGGCCAATTCAGGGGGGAGCAGTCCTTAATGGGATGTCTGGTTGAAGGCATTAAAGATACCTGGTCATCACCAAGGGAGACTAATATGATTAGCAGGGGCTGGAGGACTATAAAGGAGGGGCAGGCATTACTGAGAGAACTAGGTATGAGAAAAGCAATATATGATGCTGAGTTCACTGGGCCGGATAAGACTGTGTTCAGCAGAGATGTGAAGGAAAACTTAATTCAACTGGGACCTTGAGAATGGTATGGGGCTTTAATAGTTTTACTAAGCCCTTTAATGGGACAGGATATTTGAGAAGTGAGACAGGCTTTGGCAAATCTAAATGATTCTGATCAGCATGTAAAACATATCTGTAAAATAACAGAACACCCTATAAGAGATATAAAAAACACCAGACTAAAGAAACGGTCCATTTGGGTTACTCAAAGACAAATGTGGCAAGACTTATGTTGAGCCCAAATTCCCAGAGAAAAAATTGATAGAAAACCAAATTCGGTACTAAGGAGTTTCTGGAAGGCTTTAAGAACAGAACAGTTTACAAAAGACATTCAAAGGATAAAAACTGTCCCAGGGGTGGTTAAGAATCTCCAAGGATGAAATAAAATGCATTTCTCTTCTGATAAAGGCTATACTAGAGGTGGAAGCAGGTTTTCCCCACCAAGTTCTCCCCTAGCAGCCAGGTGTGGTCAATGGAGAAATGACAGATATGGCTACAGTCAGGAGGCAGACATAGGGCCTGCCTGATTCAGAGAACTGGCAAATGCAGTGGGGACAGGAGAAACCTCCTGCCTCAGCCAAGTGCAGGGTCAGGCAACTGGAGCCAACACCTGTAAGTGTATCAAGAATAAAGGAATACAAAGAGACTCCATGTAAAATCCCCCAAGTGTGAAATGACTCCAAAGGGATAACTAAAAATGATAAAAAGCTAACCAAATTAATACCTTGTACTGATGCTATGGTACCTAACAAGGATCTATGGAGAAAACAGTTAATATGAATGGACAAAACCTTTCCATGCTATTATGTGAAACCTTGTCTATGATTGATTTAATATATAATGTTAACCTTCCTTTGAGTGTTTTACAGATGTAAAACCCATTTGAAAGGTACCTGAAGAAGCAAAGGCCAGCTATAGTTGTAAGATTCTTCGGAGTTTTATGGTTGGGTAAGGTGAAGACAGAGACTCTCAAACTATCCAACTACTAAGAAAATCTACAGTACCAGGGGTGGGTTGTCCCCCCATGAGCTGTTGGTCAGAGAGATCCTAGAGGTCCTCAAATTCACCAAGGCTATTGCCATTAATGTCAGTTGTACACTAGAAAGGTCGGTAAGGCCATGTTGCTGAAGACACTGCATGTTGTGAGCATGGGAGGAGAAGAAGAAGAGATGGAACTGAGACTAAGCCACAAAACTCTGTGCCACTGAATGGATGACATTCATATTGCCAGAAGGTACTATGAAGATGGTTGGGAAAGAAAGGATCCCCTATGATTCTACTCAACAATGGACACCGCATGCTGCACACTATGGATATGCCATGCAATGCCTCCTGCCAAGCAATGCCTGCAAGTGCAATAATGGCTTGACCAACATATGTACAATTGACTAATTTCTAACTGGATAAGGCCTGCTCCTAGGGGTGGAACACACATCTGGTGCTGTAGACCAGGCCAATGCCTTGTGTTGAGAAAGCTACAGGCCCGAGTGGGGAAGCTGCTGTAGACCAGGCCAATGCCTTGTGTCAAGAAAGGCTACAGGCCCTAGTGAGTAAGCCATCACAAGTATACTGTTTAAAGAATATAGTACACCTACTGGGATATCTTCTAGGCATTTGTATTTACATTCATGTTTGTTTAAATGTGTCTACTTCCATTTGTCCTTATAGTAGAAGAAACACTACTGAGATAGATCAATGGCCATGGCTTAAAGACAAATAATGGGAAGTCCCAAGAAGTCACTATCTCTCCAAGATACAAGAGAGATCACCCTACATCTGTCACCCCCTCCAAGGCCCAGGGACCTTAGCAGAAGATTGGCAGAAAGATTGTAAGAGTGGAGGAAAGGGGCGGAGTGTGTTCCCCAGGGGTTCTGGTTCCTCCAAAGGGCGAGGCCTGCTGTGGAGAATTGACTATGGAGAGTTAACCATGAAAGGAGGGGCTTGTGGTGCCATCTTGGGAACGGAGTGGTGAGCCGCCAGGGACTCACGGAGGCAGGCATGGGGAATGTATAGCAGCTGGGCATACTCAAGGACAGGATGGCCTGGCATTTATGGACCTGGGGTGAGACCGCTGGCCCCTGAGGTGTGGGCGAAAGCTAGCAGTGACTATGGGTGTACTGCGGGAGCGATCTGATATGGTGGGCTCTGAGCTGTGGTGCAGAGCTGCGCGGTGCGGAGCTGAGCAGTGCAGAGTTAGGCACTGGGTGCTCATTTCTTTGTAAATCATTCCCCTCCCCCCATGATAATAATAAATGCACATAAAGATATGTTATATGGTTTGCCTGATAATGCAAGAGACCCAGAGAGAACTCTGGCAACACCCAGGAAATCAAGTGGAACGCATGAAGAAATGGGTTTGTTTCAATTGTGTCATGGACTAATAGAGTCATTTTTTTGCTTAGTGGAAAAAAAAGAGTATCTGTCACAGTATGGTTGTCACAGTGCTAATAGAGAATCAAACCTGAGCCAATGTCTATTAAAATGTACCAGCACCTTTATAAGATTGTTTATAATACACCACTTACCATTGCCTAATGAAAGACTGTGTCATAAAATATGTCAACATTATCAGTGGCCATAAAAACTGGGTATTTTCATATTGAATTTGAGATATGCAGTTTTAAAACTTTAATAAAACAAATGAAGCAGGAGATAGCACTTAAACATTTTCAATGAGGGTAGAAAGCTTCTTGCAAGATTTTGAGAAGAACTCCCACAAGATGAACTGTGGGCACAGAGGTGAGATGCTTCATGTATAACTAGAAATGAATGTGAATCCACCCGTTGTGAGAGAAAATAGCTTTGGTGTGCCATGTAAACATGAATATATATGTATATGTATATATATAATATTTCATGTTCAATAATACTGATTAGAGGGTAACCAGCACAGGATATATTTTAAAGAGGTTACAATGGTATAAAATGGTTCTTCACTTCCTTATTTCCATTTTTTTGATTCCATTTTATAGTAAAGTGCTATAAATTACTATTTCCACCCTATCAAAGTATTTGTCAGGGTATAAACCAATGGCTGAATACATTATTTCAAACAAATTAGAGTACAGACATTTGGTAGATAACTTTTTATTTTTTCATATGAATATTTTTTTTTTGGTTTTTTTGAGACAGGGTCTCCCTGTAACCCCAGCTGTCCTAGAACTCACTATGTAGACCAGGATGGCCTTGAACTCACAGAGATCCACCTGCCTCTGCCTCCCAAGTGCTGGGACTACAGGCATGCGCCACCACGCCCGGCTGTTTCATATGAATTTTAAGTGGACATGTAGAAATGATTTTTACCATTTTATTCTAAAGAAAATTCCAAAATATTGTCACATCACAGTTCCAAAAACTTGGGGAAATATCAATTTCAAAAATTAAGGCAGGAAGTAGTTTCCACTAGAGATTTTAGTTTTAGTTAACAATATAGTATTTTTTCTGATAGAATTATTAAATTCAAAATATATCTATTTCCTTAAAAATGTTTTCTGCTGTCATAGTAAAAATCACTGAATATAAAGGAAGTCTTTTGTTGTTATACATATTTCAGTTTCTACATTGAGCTTTGCTTTTAAAAATGAGTTTAGATATATCGAAGGTTTTCTAAATTTGATTTGCAACTTCCTAACATCAGGAAAATGAGTAAGAATAGGTTAGTTTATTAGAAAGTATTGAATTACAACAGCAGATAAAATGGAGATAAGTGCAAATCCCACCAGAAGGGTTAGAACAAAAGTGTCATCATTTATCTCTGTCTTACTCTTTTCATGTTTGTCATTGTTAGAGTTTCCTTTTCCTTTACCTCCACTGCCTTTACCATGCCCTGACTGTTTACAAGTTGAGAAAAGTGTGCTGGGGCTATAGGCTCCCCAGAGCTCTTGTATACCATTAGCATTTTCATATTGGCGTCCAGCACAGACCTTGAAATAGTATCGCGAGTTTGTAAGGTAGTTGGAAAAGGAAAATGTAGTGTTCGGTCCTTTGTATATCTAAAAAAAAAAAGGAAGTCAAATGAAAATTACACTTTTTTATCAACTGAAATTGTATTGTATAGTTTCATACACTAAAAAAATAAGCATTCATTTTATGAACATGTTCACAAGAAAGCTACAATTTTACTGCCTCTAATGTTCTGAGTAGACTCAGTATTGTTTTGGTAATTTTGTTCAGTAAGGCATAGCAAAAATGTACAATTGTTAAACTTTAATTGCATTACATATAGAACTGAATCATGTATTTTGGTTAGTGGAATCATGAAATACTAAATAGGGGAGAGACAGTTGGGCAGGTAAGAGCACTTATTGTTCTTTCAGAGGACCTAAGTTCGGTTCCCAACACCCACACAGCAGCTAACACCTATCATAAAATAAAAATAAATAAATTAAATCTCAAAAAAGAAATACTAAATAATTCAATGGCAATAAGCTAATTAAAACACGTTAATTGTATTCAAGTATCCAAATAAGGATTATGTGACATGAATGCTACAGATAAGATGAGACTTTGAGATAGGATTTAGTTACTTTAAACATCTTTAAAAATATCATACTGTCTGCCAAAAGCTCAACCCTCAGCTGGACATAGAACAACAAAATTTTTTGAAGTGGGGCCTCATGCATTCCAGGCTAGCCTCAGACTCACTGTGTAGCAGAAGATGGACCTCGAACTCCTGATTATCCTGACTCTACCTCTCAAGTGCTGTGACTACAAGTATGTGCCACCATGCTTGCAGAACTTTAAAGTCTAAATTTGAAAGAATTTACCTGCTGAGATTTTTTCCCAGTTGTGACTTGAAGACAGTAAATAATGGGATCTCCTTTAATTGGTTCCAAGGAATTCCACTTGATCTCACAACTATTATTATTCATTGGATGCAGCTTAGGTGCTGGAAAAAAAATTATTTTAGAGCTTGGATGCATTGAAATCACACATAAAAATTCATGACCAGGATGGGAGATATGGCTCAGTGGTTAATAGCACTGGCTGCTCTTGGAGAGGACTGGGGTTTGATTCCCAGTACCTACATGGCAGCTAAGAACCATCCTTAACTCCAGTTGCAGGGGAATATGACACCCTCTTCTAAACTCTGTGGCATTGCACAGCACAAGTGCACTTACATACATGCAGGTAATACACTTGTAATAATAAATATAATAAAATAAAAAACAAAAGACTCCATGATTATTAAAAGTATCCCATGCATACCTATTGGAAGAGATATAGAACTATACATATTATTGGAAATCCTTTTGTTATATCATCAGGCATCGTGATTGTAACAAAACTTTAATCAAAGTTATGAATTAATAATGCATATTTAAATTTTCTATTTAAATTTTGTTGTAAATTTTAATTTTGTTTCTTCTCATGTAGAATAATCTGCCTTATATTTATATGGTACATTAGACATTGGGAAGAATTTTCACATGTATAAATAATTTTATTTTAGGATTGCAGCAACTGTGTGAGATAGGTGGAAACAGGCTCTTTATTTCATATTGTTTGTCTTTACATGTCAAGAAAATGGAGCTTAAATATATAGGGACATTAGTCAAGAAAAGAGGAAAGCTTTATTGTCATCTGAGTTTAATTCAATCTTTCACTTAGCTTTACGCTGAAGATGAATGATTTCATAATAGTGATTGAACTCATGTGGACAGAATGGGGCAACTAAATGTCACAACTGGAAAGGGCAAAAAAAAAAAAAAAAAAGATTCTCGAAGTCAATATTCTAAAGACTGCAAATTTGGATTCACAGTTAGGTTTTATAGATTGCATTTTGCAATTCAGAAAAAGATAGTAAATTCATAACTTCAGAAATAAGTATACTAAGTTTACATGCTCCTTTTAGTTTCATCAGTATAATTACACCTGTCAAAACTGATAATTTTTGTACAACAAACCATTTAAGTAAATAAAATGCATAGCGATGAATGCCTATGACAACACAGAAAGAGCACTGTTAAGGAAATCAGGAGGCTGCAGTTGTAGTCTTGCTGTGCTGCTGACTCAGAGACTTATTTAGCTAAGTTGCTTAACATCTGGGGGACTTAACTGCTTACTTTTAAAAAGTGGTTGGCTGGATGAGGTAACTGTGAGAGAAGTAACTCATATGAACTTACAGCAATGGTCACAGCATGCACAAGACCCACACAATCTCAAAGTAGATAAAATCCCAGCATAGATGTGGGGAAGTGGGGAATGAAGCCCAACCTTTGCTGAGGAGCTATTGGGAACTGATAACTACTGGGAGAGGAAGAGTCAGTTTTCTTTCAGGATGTGATAAATTAACCAGGCTCCAGTGTAGGACCCACACCGAAGAACATTTGGGGACACAAACTTAACTCGACAGGCCTTATATATGACAGAGTACATGAAATCTGATGGGGGGGCTATAGAAGGATGCAGATATAGTAAGGTGTCTAAATATGATTAAATATATTGTATGAAATTTATAAAAATACAATAAAAATTGATTGTGGGAATCTTATTAAATCTTACATTTCTCTTTAAATCAATAATTAAGTACTACCCTCTTTGAGTATTACATTACTGAATTAAAAAATTATTGACGATAATTTTTAAATTTAAAAATTTTAATTAGCATACAAAGTATCATGCTTTTAAAAATATTTATTAATTTTTATAGACCTGTCATACTGAGCTTTCTATACTCATTCTGAGACTAAGATTGCTTTGGGAAAAGTATCTGTGGATTTCTAGGTACTCATTTTCACAGGAATATACAATGGATTTGTACACTTTTTGAAAAATTATTTTATGTTTATGAGTCTGCATGTATGTTAAGTGCACGTGTCATGCAGTGCTCACAGAGGTCAGAGGTCAGAAGTCAGTGTTGGATTTCCCTGGAACCGGAGTTACCGAGTTCTTAGTCACCAAGTGGATGCTGTGAATTGAAACTGGGTCCTCTGCAAGAGCAGCTAGTGCTCTTAACTTATGAGCCATCTTTCCAGGCTCTGTACACTTAAAAAATTTATTTATTAATTTTATTTTCTGTGTATGAGTGTATTGCCTGCATGTGTGTAAGTGCACCCATACCATGCAATGTCCACAAGATCAGAATAGAGCATCAGATCCCCTAGAACCGGAGTTACAGAAGGTTGTTAGCCACTATGTGAGTGTTGGGAATCGAACCCAGGTCCTCTGCAAGAGCAACTAGTGCTCTTAACGGCGGAGCCATCTCTCCAGGCCCCGTAACATGCATTTTCATGCACATTTAGTTTTGATTAATTTCCCTCTGCTGATCACCCCATCTCCCTGCCCCCTCATCCTACTAGTACTTTCCCACCTCCACTGTTTCCCCTTCCACTTTCATATGTGTTCTAGGACCTTCTACACCCCTTCCTTAAATGATCTTCCCCCATGCTTTCTAGTTTCCTGGCTTCTATACACAATTACTCCCACTTAAAAACACACATATAAAAATTACAAGATAGAAGCTGAATAAGAGAGAGTACATGTGGCATTTGTCATTCTGAGCCTGGGTTATCTCACTTACAATATAGTATTTTCCAATTTCTATCTATCTATCTATCTATCTATCTATCTATCTATCTATCTATCTATCTATCTATCTATCTATCATCTATAGATCTATCAATCAATCTATCTATCACCATCTATCTATCATCTATGTATCTATCTATCTATCTATGTATCTATGTATCTATCTATCATCTATCTTTCTATCTATCTATCTATCTATCTATCTATCTATCTATCTATCTATCATCTATCTATCATCATCTAGCATCTATCTATCTCTATCATCTATCGATCTACCTACTTACCTACTTGGAAACTCTAATGCAATATTCAGTCTTTGTGTGTAGTGCTTACCTTTCATTGCAACTGGTGGGGTTTTTACTGTACTGAAAGTATAGATATCAGACAGTGGTCCCTCACCAGCTTCATTGCATGCCTGGATTTTAAACCTGTATGATGAACATTCAATCAATTTTTGGACTTTGTGAGTTTGTGAAGGTCCATGGTAAATGATAGAAAATCTAGGGGACAGAAAGGAGATGAGGTAAACAATGCTATTAATCAAGTCATACATGTATGAATAACTTGTTATATAACTAACCAAAAATTTAAAAGCTTAGTAAAGCCTAAGAATGTCAACTTAAAACAGGAAGGTAAAACAAAAAAGACAAAAAACCTCAGGTCATATTATCACATAATGACAAGGTTCTTGGCTTTCTCTTTTTCTCCCATAACTTCTATCCTTTGGTGCTTAAATTGCACTAGGTAATTGAAGAACGTTGGAAGAGGCAAAAATAGAGAACTTAACGATGACAAAATTTTAACTGTTATATATAACATGGAAATAGGCTGTGTTTTTACATTTACTTCCCTGAAACTACTTTGGATTATGATATAAAATTTTAAACTGCTATTTATTGTAGTACATGTTAAATGGTAAAAATAGTTACCTTCCAGATCGATCTTCCATTAACAAGTTGTAGCTTATGTAGTTGGCCAGTGTTCTTTTGCTTGAGGAGTTACCCCATCTCATTCTGAGGCTTTGATGGCCATAGACTACACATTCAAGATTTGGAGGATCAGGTGGTAGTGGCTTGGTTTTGGTTCTTATTGATTGGCTAAAAGGGCTTAGTCCGTGATGATTGATAGCTTGAATTCTGATTCTAGTGGTAAAAATAAGATACATGAATTTATATTCAGTAAAGAAAATAATTTTCTCTATATAAGCTAACCCCCTAGTGGCTTGATAAGAAATGACTATCATTATGCTGATTATAAGGCAGATTCTCAAGACAAAACTCTTAAGTTTGTATAATGACTATTGAAAATTGCTGATGAAAGAAGAAATTGGCTCTTACTATTGTCAGATTTCTCCATAGAGAAAATGAAAAGAATTCTCGTGTAGAATTATTTTCAAAGGAAATCTTATATGTATTAAACATACAAATGTAACTGCTCAAAATTCTTAACATTTCATTTACCTAAAATAAGATGAGTGACTTACTTATATGTAGTATTAGGCTGTAGATTTTTCAAAACACACTCTGTTACTCGATCAACAGTCAAGATTTTTTTATCTCCATATTCAATGTTATATCCGGTGATTGGAGAGCCATGGCAGTCTGGCTCCTCCCACTGAAGAGCAATGCAAGTCGATGACATTTTGGCGGGAACTTTGTTTTCAACTTCTTGTAACGTTTGTACTATTGAGGGTACAGTTCCTGGTGTAGTTATTTTGCCAGTTCCTCCAAACATTCCAACCCCAACTATATTTATAGCCTGAAAAATGTATGATTTGTTAGCGATTCATTATGACCATTTTTTGCATAAATTCTTTTTATAATAATTCTTTTAATAACAAAATAAATCTTTACAGACTCAAAATCTAACAATAATATTCTAAGCTGAAGAAACACATGATGAAACTTTGCAGGTTGCATCTTTAGGAAGGTAAAGAGGTATATAAGTGAAGGTAAGTGAAGAGTATTAATATGGTTACTTTAGGAAAACTACACCCAAACAAGAGTCATCAATTACTGCATCAAACTTTTTTCCCTTTTTTTTCATGCTGTACTTTCTCTGTTAAGTTCTCATCCATTAAATAAATTTCATTGATCTTTTAAGGGCATTTTTTTTTTCATTTTTAGATCATTATAAATACACATGAATCCTTTACCTACTTTCCCTTGAAGGTTAATATTTTGCATAGTTGTAGTTTAAATATTACAACCAGGAAACCAGCACAGATAAAAAATGTTGACATTATTTAGAATTGCATACCCTTATTTGTGTGTGTACTTAGTTCTCTTTGGTGACCACATCCATTTTAATATAAAGAAGTTCCATTACAGAATTGCTTGTGCTACTCTTAGAGCCACAGTAACTTCCCTCTCTGTCCCTTTCTAACCTCTGGAAATCACTAATTGTTATCCATCATTATAAATTTGACATTTTGAGAATACTATATAAAAGGGATAATGCAGGCTCATTTTTAGTTAACATAATTCTCTGGAGATCCACCATCTATTACTTATATTAATACTTGGTTCATTTTTATTACTGCACAGTATGTCATGGTATACATGTACCATAGTTTATTTAACTGCTCATCTGTCGAAAGATATTTGAGCTGTTTTCTAGTTTTTGACTCCTACAAATAAAGGTGCTATGTGTATTCATGGACAGTCTTTTTCTGTGGATAAGTTTCCAATTTTCAGGATAAATAGCTAAGCTCTGGGTGTGTATTATGTGCATGTTTGGTTTTGTAAGACGTTGTTATGCTGTTTTCTGGAAGGGTTATAAATTCCATTTTTTATTTTTTGTTTTTATTTTATGTGTATGCATGTATTGCCTGCATGCAGGTAAGTGCACCCGTGTTGTGCAATGCCCGCGGAGGACAGAAGAGGCTGTTGGATCCCCTGGAACTGGAGTTACAGACAGTTGTTAGCTGCCATGTGGGTGCTGGGATTCAAACCCGGGTCTTCTGCAAGAACAACCAGTGTTCTTGACTGCTGAGCCATCTCTCCAGCCCCGCAAGACCATGTTTTACAAATACTATGTTTCAGCCTGTAGGTTCTTTTTTCATCCTCTCTATAGGGTCTTCTGTGAAGTAAAATTTTTTAAGGTTGAGTAGGTCAAATTTATCAATATTTCCTTTTATGTGTTGTCTTTTTGGTGTCAAGTATAAAAAATCTTTGCCTAGTATAGCTCACAAAGTTTTTCTCACAATTTTTTTCAAAAGGTTTTGCTTTTGTCTATTCTCCTAACATTATTTATTTTTAAAGATTTATTCATTTTTATTTTATGTGTATGAGTGTTTTGCCTGCAGGTATGTAAGTGCACTATGAGCATACCAGTGCTCTCAGTGTCCAGGAAAGGGCATTGAATCCCCTGGAACTGAAGCTATAGTCAGTTGTCAACTGCTGTGTCAGTCCTCTGGAAGAGCAGTTAGTGCTCTTAACCATTGAGCTATTTCTCCAGCCCCAAAAATAAATAAATAGGGGCTGGAGAGATGGCCCAGCGGTTAAGAGCACTGACTGCTCTTACAGAGGACCTGGATTCGATTTCCAGCACCCACATGGCAGCTATGAACTGTCCTTAACTCCAGTCCCAGGGGAATCTGAAGCCCTCTTCTGACCTCCGCGGCATTGCACGACACGGGTGCACTCACATACGTGCAAGCAATACACTCATACACATAAAATAAAAATAATAAATAAAATATTAAAAAAAGACATCCTTGCTATGTTGTCTGGGTTAGACTCCAACTTCCGGGCTCAAGTAATTCTAATGTCTCAACCTTGAATAGCTGAGACTCCAGGTATGTGCCACTTCGCTTGGCTTCGTTTATAGTTCTGTTTTAGTTTCTATTTTCTGGAAGGACACATCTAAACTTGGTGTTAATTTCTTTTTAAATTCTTTGTAGAAATCTCCAGTGATGCCAGGCCTGGTGGCACACGCCTTTAATCCCAGCACTTGGGAGGCAGAGGCAGGTGGATGTCTGTGAATTCAAGACCAGCCTGGTCTACATAGTGAGTTCCAGGCCAGCTGTGGCCACTGGGAGACCCTGTCTCAAAAGAACAACAACAACAAAAAAATGAAACCTTTCTGGGACTGGAAAATTTTTAAGTCTTTTTAATATATAGATGCGATTTATTTCATGACTATAGGGTTGAGTTTAAGTGAATAGTTCCATTTCTTTTATATTGTTGCGTTTATGTGTGTAAAATTGCTTAGTGTTTGTAGTGATAGTTCTCTTTATTCCACAATAAATTATTATTATAATAATTATAAATTTATTCCAGAATTAATTATTTATGTCTATCCTTTTTTAGTGCTGAAGATTAAACTCAGAGTCTTACACATGCTAAGGACATGCTCTAGCATGGAGCTATGCCCTAGCCCTTCTACCGTTTCTGTCTATGTCAGTTTTGTAAGGAGTGTTTTTCAATTTTTTTTCCGACTATATCTTTTTGTTTCCTTTCTTTGTTTGCCTTTGTGATATATATATACACACACACACACACATACATATACACACACATATGGAGTTAGATAATTGAATTGAGTTCTTTCTCTGTTGTAATATAAGCACCTAGTGGTCTGAATTCTCTCTTAGCACTGCTTTAGGTTTATTGCTCTTCTTCTGGTATGTTGCATTGCCATTTTTATTGAGTATCATGCATTAAATGTTTTCTTTGAGATTTTGCCTTTGTGGGTAATTTGGGAATGTATTATTTAATATCTTTTTCTTTTTTGTTGAAATTTATGAATTTAATATATTTTGATCATATTTAGATCCCCTCCCTTATCTGCACCCTTCCTTACTAACCCCCACTAAATTTCCTGTACATATATATATATGTATACACACACTATATATATATATATATATATATACACACACACACACACACAATATAACACACACACACACACAACTACAGAGTGTAGTGAGTCAGGTTTGTTTTTCTAAATGCCTTCAGTTTGGGTTCATCCACTGGAGTCTGGTCAACCTACCAGGAGTCTCACCCTTAAACAAGACTGAATCTCTCCTCCCAACAGCCATTAGTTGCCAATAGTTCCTTAGGTAGGGTTGGGGGTTCTTACCCACTACCTCATGTATATGCTGGGATTGTGATTGGCTTGAGTTTGCATAGGACTTGTACATACTGTCAACATTGCTGTGAGTTCACATGCATAACTGACTAGCTTTCTGGAAAACTATGACTCTTACAAACTTTCTGCCCCCAATTACACAATGATCCCTGAGCCTTCTGTTAAATGTTCCTGCTGTCTTTTTGTGTTGATTTAGAGTTTGATTCCACTATGGCCAAGAACACTCTGTACTAAGCTTCTATGATTATTTAATATTTTTATGTATATGCATGTATTGCCTGTTTGTATGTAAGTGCAGCCATGTTGTGCAATATCCGTGGAGGTCAGAAGAGGGTGTTGGATCCCTGGAAATGGAGTTATAGACAGTTGTTAACTACTATGTGGGTGCTGGGAACTGAACCTGAGTCCTCCGCAAGAGCAGCTAGTGCTTCTAACCACTGAGCCATCTCTCCAGCCTGAGATTCTCTAATTAAATATATAGAATGCCAGGCATGGTGGCATTATAGCTACAATCACAACACTTGGGAGATGGAGGCAGAAAGATCAAGAGTGTAAGACAAGCCTGGGCTACATAGAGAAACCCTGTCTTAAAAAAAAGAGAGAATGACTGAATGGTTACAAAGTAAGTCCCAGCTACAGGTGCTTACAAAACTCACTTCACTTCTAAGAATATATATATATTCATTCACTGAATGTGAAGGGACAAAAGGAGAAACTATGCAAAAGTTCAAGACAAGATGGTACAGCTCTTATTTTCCCAGTGATGACTGTTATCAGGAAAAACTATACTTCAATTTCCTGAATTCAATTTCTTGAAGTCAAAAGCACTAATACCATTCCTGCACATCCTAATACTATCCGTGCACATCCTTATTTAACCATTAACACCATCTGGCCTGGCCGATAAGACCATTCTATTTCTTTGGGAAAATCCCCAGGCCCCTGACTAGCCCCCTGCAAAGTGGTATAAAAATCTTGACCTGTAAGAGAGGTTTGCTTTCTCATCTCCTCTTGATGAAAGTCCTTCTCAGATTTATCCTGAAATAAACCTGCCCCTGCCTTTAAGCCACAGCCACCTTGTTTCTTTTTTCTTCTTACAAATTGGCGCCCTGTGTGAGGACAGTGCTTGGAGAAAAAACCTTCTTGTAACCCAGGAAGTAGTAGGCAGCATAGCTAGTCCCAAGCTGGTTCCTGGATCCTGAGGCATCTTTGGCCTCTTACACCTTTCAGTTCAGCCTTGCCTTTGGATTGTATGAGGTCGTCGTCAGGACTGCAGGGTCCTGGCCATGGTGACTCCCTGGTGCACATCCAATACCACTTGCAGGGTCTAGCTGTGTCTCTGATGCCCTTTCAGGTAATCCACTAGGCTCCTCACTCTTAGTCTTTTATTTTCTTTCTCATTTTCCTCTTGGCAGTTTTCGGAGGTTCCTAGGGAAGGCAGGCTTCTTGCCATTTCCTGTACTCACCCCCAAAACCTTATTAACACTGTCCTCCCCCACGTGCGCATGAGGGATTCCTTCCATCTGCTTCTCCCAAAGTGACTGTGAGATCAGACCATTTCTTTCCTCCCCAGGGGACCGCCTAGGCAGGGGAATTTGGTTCAGGGACAACCACCATTCACTTTTGCTTCTTTTCCTCTCCAGGAGAGGTCCTGGGGATTTCTGATATCCCAACATGGTTGGACTGTCTACAATCTCAGAATACCCCCAGGCCTTTCTCACCAACAACAGGTTCCCAAGTTTCTAAAATATCTTGGGATGCCTTCTGTCTAACATCTCCAAATTGGTCCTCGAGGGCAGAGTCCGGCCATGCAAACTGATTATCTTTTGTGATATGGACTGGCCCCAACATAAACTGGACAACTCCTGATGGTTTGAAAACTGCACATTTGACGTCCAAATTCTCAGGAACCTTGGTAAGTTCATAAAGCGACATGGTAAGTGGCAGGAAGCTCCCTATACAGAGACTTGGAAGATCCTCTTTGCAACCCTGTTAATGATTACCCTCCTCACAACCCTCATACCTACTATACTGGACTCTCAGCATGACCTCTCACAGCGCTGCCACCAGAAATCAAGAGTAAGGGGGTATATTTTCATTGTCTGCCTCTTCTATGCCAGTCTCCTGGCCCTTCCGGCCTTTGGCTCCCAGTCACACCCCAAATTCATTATCACTCCCTTGGCCTTTGGGCTCAGCCCATCACCATGCAGACTTCCACTCAGTTACAAAATACTGCCCCATGATTTTTTTTTCTTCCTTTAACACAGTCTAGGGCCAATCTCCCCATAAGTGAGGCAGCCCAATGGCAAGGCATTGGCTTGAATACACTTTCCTTTTTCCATGCCCAACATGGCCTAAACAGAGTTCAGGCTAGGCTCCTTTTCTGTGGATCTTGCCCATTACTACAGAAAATTTCTCTCCATTACCCAATCATTCCACCAGATCTGGAAGGACATTTATATAATCCTTTTGAGCCTGTATGAGAAGGAATGCATCTGGGGGCTGGGCAAGGCCCATGCTGATGACCTTCATTATCAGGAACTTGATGGTCATCTGGAGTTGGCCATGGCCATCCATTGACAAAACCCTGATTGGACCTATCAGCCAAGAGATTCTGATTTCAAGTGACTCAACCATATGTTCTCTTACTTCTTGGCTGCCATGGCCAAACAGGTTCATAAAGCAGTAAACTTGGGAAGGCTTAGTGAAATCACACAGTGCCCCAGTTGAGAACCCAGTCCTTTTCCATCCTGATAAATCTGGGTTATGTCTAAATATATTCCCAGCCCTGAGTCTCCCAAGGGTGAGACCTTGAAGATGGTTCATAGACTTCACTGCATAATCTCTTCAAGGCAGCCTTTGGGTCTTTAATGGCAGGGAATATGAACACCTTCCACTTAGCCTTGGAATTGCCCCATACTAGCAACTTTGGGATCCTGATGGAGGTGAGTAATGTGCCTCCAACCTGGAAGTAACCCTTCTTTCTAAACAACTATCAGAGAGCCTCAGTGATGTCACCGGTGAGCTCCTGGCAGTCCCAGACTAGATGAACTCCCTAGCTGCTGTTGTCATGCAGAACCTCCAAGGTTGTAATCTCCTGGTAGCCACAACATGGAGATATCTGTGCACTTCTGAATGAACACTGCTGCTTCTTCACCACTAGGGCATCTCTGGTAAGAGATGGGGCCCAAAGAGCAAAGGATAGAGACATTGCCCTTCAGAAGACCTCTAACTCATGGCTGGCCCCTTCACTCTCCTGGCTGCTCTGTCTGTCCCTTTCATCCTGGAGCTCCTCTTCCTCCCCTGTTTTATTGACCTCTTCCAACTTTTTGATGAACAGGATCACTGAAATTTCCCTAGCCAAGTGACCTCTCAAGAAGTCAAAGCCGTCCTCCTTCTTTAGACTCTTTGTTCTCCAAACTATAGCCTCTCCTTAGTGGGAAGTGGCTTTAGGGATGCTATTGCCCTGTCTTCCTGGCTAACCTTAGGGTCTGAATTGAGAAAGCAAGAGCACAACCATCGTATCTCAAAAATAGCCCTGTGCTGGCCTAAACAGGCCCCTCTTTTTTGTAATTAATGGTTTTAATTTCCTGAAATCAAATTTTTACCAGAAATAACATTCCTGCATGCCCTAGTTCAACCATTGTCTATGTTGTCTAACTTATAAGGTCATTCTGCCCCTTCCTGGAAATCCCCAACCCCTTAACTCCCCTCCAAGCTCAAACCCTATAAAAATCTTAGCTTATAAAAGGAGTTCACATGCTTGTTCTTTCACCTTCTCTTCATGAGAGTCCTTCTCAGGTTTATTTCAAAATAAACCTGTCCCTGCCACGGAGCTGCCGTATCTATCTTTTTTTCTTACAGTCACTATGGATACTTATTAAATATATTGATTAGCAAACTTCTAGCTTGTAAAGTTGATTACAGAGTTCTGAATAGTAGGTGTAGTAATTGGTTGCCTTGTTTGTTTGTTTGATACAGGGTTTCACTCTTTAGCCTTGAACTCACTATGTGTCCTAGACTGACCTCAAACCTGTGGTAATCCTCCTGTGCCAGCCTCTAAAATTGTGGGAATATAAGTATGAACCCCCAGGCCTGGCTGGAGTCAATGGTTTTAGCAACAATTTTCAGGTGATTGTTAAGTTTAGAGAAATTTGGAAAAATATACCATTAAAAAGTAAATATGACAGGTGAAGCTGGAATGAGGAGTACATACCAGATCGTGTGACTGGCATGTGAAGGAGCTTTGAATGTTGTCAAAAAATATAAGCAATATTTATGATTTGGAAGTCCTTCCCTTCTAGACTCTGTTCTAGTCTTTATATCGGAAATGATGTCAATATAATGTATGTGTGAAGTGTAGGTTACGATCTGTTATCTTGTTTATATTGAAGGAAATGCCAGTTCTACCTGAACTCTGCAAAAGTACGTAGTTGCAGGAAGAAGATTTTTAACTTCATAGCGCAAACACGGGCCAGTATAAATCAAGTGCATCGAATCTTCAACTTGTCCCCATTGTAGTCTGTAATCAGTGATTTCAGCACCATTGCATTTAGGTATCTGAATGAGAAACAGAAATTCTTTTCCTCAGTGGTCACTATATTAAATAATGTGGAGAGTTACAATATGTTAAAGCTTGTATTCTATCAAGTGATACAGGATAGAGAGGTGTAGAAACAAACACAAAAGAACACTATGACTAACACTGAAAGACTCAAATAAAATTAAGAGAAAAGGTTTGCTCATCCCAAATATTAGACAAATGCAAACAGGTATATTAATATTTTTAACATTATCATTGGTTAGTGTGATCAAACACAAACTCTGGCCTTTATAAGTGATCAGCTCTGCTATGTGTTATTAACAGAATAAGCCTTTTGTGACAATGTCAAAAACACCCCTTGCTTGAAAAGAGAATAATCCAAATAAATCTACATAACTCAATGGTTAACCCAATTCTCATTTTTAAGCCTGATTAGTTTGGTAAAACATTCACATGAATGTAAAAAAGGTGTTTATTAATCTTTGACAGTCCTTATGTGCCACATTGCAGTTACATGCAAGAAATAGTATGAGATTTCCCAATGAAGTTCTTTAAATCGTGCTAAAAGTTCTGGGCTGGGAATGTCATTCAGGGGTAGAATGCTTGCCTAGCATGTATGAAGCCCTGGGTCCAGTCCTCAGCACCACAAAAATTTAAATTCTTATAAATTGATTTAACGTCATTATTTCTTGTATTGGCTTTAAAAATTCAATTATTTTCCTATTGATGGTCTATTTGGGTTTCCAAATTTGTAATTTTTCTCAAATATAAGGATTACCATTGCTTTAGCCTTCATGGTACCATTAGTATCAAGTCTTAAGTATATTCTAAAAACCATGGTCCAGGGGTAATGGGACCCTAATTCTAATTTCTGATTCCTTAAGAATTTCTGTTTTTTTCCAAAAATGCTCTAAATCATTAACATGTTTGTGTACCAGCAAAATTAATTAGCAAATGAATTGGCGACATACTTCCCAACTGACAATAACACAGGCTGGACCCTTGCAGGTTAGTACAGGTGTCCCACACTGAGAAGGAGGGTGCCGGACTGGTACAGTTCCAGAATGAGATCCAGGCTAAAAATTAAGCAAACATACAAATAAACAAACACATGCATGAATTTGCAGGCTTGGTTATTCCTCACCTTCACAAGTAGTACAAACATACATTCACTCAAATGAAAAGGAGGTACAAGCAGGCCATGTGAATAGCATAATTTTTCTACTCCTATTTGTTGCTTTTAACCAGAAACTGTGGGTTCTTCTGGAATTAATTTACTTACTGTACATTTCTTTTCACAGGCAGGGCATTCTTTTTTGTCATTCCGGTGACCTTTTGTCTTTTTGACATGCACAGGTGTTTCCAAGTTCCTATTAGCAGGAGGATCGTCTATAAAATATTCAAAATGTGTTTAGCTTTCTTCAAAGCTAGTTATTTGGTTCTAAGGTCCTTGTGCATGTTAAGCATACACTCTCTCATTGAGCTACACCCGAAGACCCTACAAATTGTTTTTAGGGCCTTTCTTTAAAATAACACAACAGGGCTGGAGAGATGGCTCAGCAATTAAGAGCACTGGCTGTTCTGGTAGAGGACCTGGGTTCTAGTCCCAGTAACCACATGGTGGCTAACAACCATCTGTAACTCCAGTTCCAGGGGATCCGACGCCCTCTTCTGACCACCATGGGCATTGCACAGCATGGATGCACTTATATACATGCAGGCAATGCACTCATACACATACAATAAAAATAAATAAAATATAAAAAATAAAATAACACAATGTACTACACAGTGAGTCAAGATGACTCTTAAAGACTCAAAACATAGTGTGTCAACTAATTTCATAATTTGACTTAGACCTTAAGAAGTTGGGGTTTCAATGATCAAGAATTGGTTTGCTAAGGAATATTTGATTCTGTACTAAAAGAAAGCCATTTACTCTACTTTAATAATATTTAACACCACCCCCCCCCCACACAATCAAAAGTCACAGAGCAGGAAGTTTAGGTACAGTCATCAAATCACACAAGAAAGCCTCACCAAGGTGAACGGTGGTTTCATCAGACTTTGTTTGGTCACTTAATGGTGGAGAGCGATAAGACTGGGAAGGAAGAGTAGGTGTCTGAATTGTCAATATATCTGAAGGCTAAGAGAAATATACTTTGTGACTATACTAAATTCATGATCAGTTTTATAAAACATTTAGTAATGTAACATAATTCATTTCAATACTCAATTTGAAAAATTTCCCCTTTCTGTTTGCTTACCTGGCTTTGGCCTACAGGTGAAGTGCAAAAGACTCTTAATTTATATGTAGTGCCAGGTTGTAGGTGATCATATAAAAATTCCTGTACACTGCCACTGTAGATTGTGTTCCAAAGATCCACTGAAGGAATAAGTGTAAATTTATTCAACTTATTCATAGGACACCCCCCCACAGCCCCCCACAATGATCTGTTTATGATGGTTGACTAATTTTATTCCCAGTAGAATTTAACAGAAACTATAAGGGATCAGTAAAGAATCACTTGCTATCAAAAATCAATTAAGTTCTGGGGATTTTTAGTTTGTAGGAATGTACTAATAACAATTTGCTGCTTCTGGCAATTGCACTATGGTTATGTAAGATCTTAATATTAAGTGAAACTGAGTGGCAGTTTTACATAGAGACTGTATTATTTTTACATCTAGATGAGTGTAGAATTATGTCAGAATAAAATCTTTTAAAAATTGTGATGTGTTACCATTTGAATTTTCATTGACTTCTAAACTGTAACTTGAAATCTGAGCTCCACCATTATCTTTGGGTGATTCTGAAAGGAGAAATAAATTTCAAATAATTCTTCAATACACTTACAAGTCTTTCACTGTAATTTGATCTCATAAATCATAACATTCATAGAGAAAAATATAAGCATCACATATTGTCATGTTAATATCTGGGTACTTAAAAATATAATATAAAAGCTACATGTTTCTGACATCATTCACAAAGCATTTAGATAGAATTTTAAAGTTATTGGGAAGAGACTGAAATACCAGATATATGTGCAATGATCTTCATTTTTCTAGATTAGAGGCAATAAATGAGTATAAATATAATTTCTTGTCAAGCTGATATTTTCTCTGATGTAGAATTCTAATTACGGCCTCCATGTTAGATGCCATTTTACTTGGAATGATAATAAGATTTAAGGACCCATATAAAGTTCAACAATTCATTTATGTGTGAATTATTGAGCTAGCAATGGAAAATTCAATAGTGAACCAGAAAAAATAATATGCTTTACAACTAATAATACGAGTACAAAAATAATATGGTTCACATTTATGTGGAGAATAATTTCACATAAAAATGATTTAAGATAATATTTTATTAAGCCTTGGGCAATCAGAGAAAGAGTTCTTGTCAATAGTGAATATTAACATGGAGAGAACGAATTTTCAATACAAAAGCATTACTTACCCCACCCAATTTTTACTTTGTGGGCATGAATTGTTCCCATTACATATGGTTTCTGAGGGCACCCAGGCTTATCTGGACAAGTACTGTATTTTACTTCTCCACTGGGGTTGCTTCGTCCTTCCAGATTATAGGCAAACATCTGCTTGAGTAAAAGAGAATATTTTGTCAACCACTGAAAATGTCTTGTTTGGTAATGTGCAATGTGCAATTACAAGTAAGCTATTTGACAATTCCCAAGTGTTAAATGCAACATCGTTTCATTTCAAAGAAAAAAAGAAATTCGGTTTTCTCCGGTGAAGTTTAATCTTATATGAAAATATGACATGAATTATAAACTATAGCCACATACCCTGAACTTGTATGCAGTATTTCTCTGAAGATTTCTAATGGTGCAGGAGAGGTCTTCTCCATTGTATTTAGGTTTAAAACCTAATCCCTGAAAATGAAAGACAACAAATTTAGGAATTAGTCAGGCTTAGGTTCAAGTCCTAGATTCCACTTCTTTTCTATTTGAGTGGTCCTGAACAACTCCTTTAGTCTTTCTGAATCTCCATATCTTTATGTTAAAAATATTTTATTATTTTTATTTTATGTGTATGAGTATATTGCCTGTGTGTATGTAAGTGCACACATATCCTGCAATGCCAGCAGAGGCCAGAAGAGGGCTTCAGATTCCCTGGAACTGGAGTTACAGACTGCTATTATCTGCCATGTGGATGCTAGGAATCGAACCTAGGTCCTCTGCAAGAGCAGCCATTGCTCTTAACTGCTGAGCCATCTCTCCAGCCCTGATAATTTCTGTTTTCAAGGGTTCCTTTTGTGAGTTTTAATGAGCTAATACATGGGAATGTACTTAGTGTGTTAGTTACAACACAGAATACGTTTCAATATTACCTGCTTTATTTAAACTGTGGTAACAAAAAATAATAAAAAAATAAATTGTGGTAACATATGCATAGCAATTGACTTGCTTTTTAATATAGATTTTAAAGTTCAGAATTGTATCAATTAGTTGCCCACCCACACAAGGAATCTGAGGTGACATAAGGACACAGGTTGGCAGAATAATGCTAACGTGATGAATGTGTGACCACAGAAAGTCACCCAGAATAGGCCTAGAGTTGAAGACATTAACACACTTCTCTGAGTCTCTATGCTGCCCTTGCTTTCAGCTGGCTGCAGGACAATGGGACCTATGCAAACTTGCCCAATGGTGTTTCTGTATGGATCCTATCCAGAGCACAGGGACTCAGACTGAATGTTTTCCAAGTGAGAAATGCATAAAAAGTGTACTGAAGTGGTTAAGAGCACTGGCTGCTCTTGCAGGGGGCTTGGGTTGAAATCCCAGCACCCACATGGTGGTTAATAACCTTTTGTAACTCCAGTTCCAAGGATCCAACACCTTCTGACCTTTGAAGACATCACATGACATGGATGCACTTACATACACGCAGGCAGTACACTCATACATCTAAAAAATTAAATAAAAATTAAGGGGCTGGAGAGATGGATCAGTAGTTAAAAGCACTGGCTGTTCTTGCAGAAGACTGGGGTTTGAATCCCAGCACCCACATGGTGGCTAACAATCACCCATAACTCCAGTTCCGGGGGATCCAACATCCTCTTTTGTTCTCTGTGGGCACTGCACAACACAGGTGCACTTAACACATGCAGGCAGTACACTCATACAAATAAAATAAAAATAAATAAATTTAAAAGAATTTAAAAAATGTACTGAAAACTGAGGATAGAGAGCACAGTATATAAAAACAAAACTTACTGATTTTGCTTCATCCATTTCTAGTACATAAGTGAGAGTGTCATTTGGGTTTGAGTTTGTTGGGGCACACCATTCTAGTGACAAACTAAAAATTCCTGCTTCTTTTAACTTAGGTGGCAAAGGTGCTGGAGGCATATTTCCTGATGTATAGAAGACTGCTATTTCACTGTAATTACTGGAAGAATAGATTAACATGAAAATATCAGTTTCAGAATCTCATGACAGAGTAGATGTTTAAATACTGCAAATAATTCAAGGTACCTTAAGCCGAAGTTATTTTTGGCAGCTAATCTGAATGAATATTTTGTAGAAGCATTTAGTTTAAAGATCTCGTATTGCCTCATGGTACCAGTATAACAACTTTTAAAGTCTTCGCCTTTACCCTTAATGATATACACAAAATATTAGAATAACATAAACTGCTACAGTTAACAACACACATTCATTGTAACATTAATAATTATCCACAATCAGATGATTTTTAAAAATAAATCTGCATACCTCATCCCATTCCAAAAGAAAGCTGCTTATTTTAGAACCATTATTATTGGAAGCCTAAAAACATTAGAATGATAAAATTACAATGGGGTTTTGAACACAGCATGCACATATATATTATATATCTTTTGTACATATATACATTTAAAGTGATATAAATTACCACAAAATTTATCTACTGATATTTCATTTTTATAGCAAACCATATTTTAAAGTTAAAATGTACCTTTTACAAAAGTCTATGGGATAAGCCCAGATTCTATGCTTTGTGTTTCCAGATTGAATACAAGGAAGGTAATTAAGATTAATACTTAAGTAAATTGGGAGGTAGATTTATTGGTAACTGTGGTTATTAACATCTAAACTTAGATTGTGGAAATGAACAGTTCACTTTTTACTAATTACTGAAGTTATATTGACAGTCTCTAGATCCTGAGAAAGAGCACTGTGAAGAAAAAGTGCTAGAGAAACAAGTCAAATGATGCATATATACTTCTATCTTTAAAATTCAGAACACAGGACAGTGTTTTAATGTTGAGGTGCTTTTGCCAGTAACATTCTTACTTTCCACTGTAAATTCAGGCTGTTCTTGGTTCGGTTAATCAGTTTGGGTGCAAGTGGAGCATCTGGTTCACATCCTGATGTTGTAAAGGTAATGACTTCAGACACAATTCTGTGTTCTGAGCCACTTTCTGCAGTAACTCTGAAAATATAACAGCAATAACAATAAATTTTCAAATATTGAACTGCAAACTTGTGTTTTCTACACACATTCCTTTTTTGTTGTTCTACTAGTATATATAGATCATACATAAGAATGGATTATGGCATTTTCACACATGCATACAATGTTTTGGGATTGTACCCGCCATTACCCTCCTTGTTCCCTTCCCATTTCCATTGATTCCCGTCTTCTTCCCAACTAGTCACCTACTCTTATGTTTACTTTTTATGTTTTTTATGAGTTTAATTAGGGTTGCTTACATGAGCATGGGTGAGGGGGTTATTTGAAGGGGTTGAAGTGCGAAGGAAAGTGTGCTGGCAAATAGACTGAATTCAGGAATTCTAGTTAGTGAACTGATATATATTAGGGAGTCTTGGCTGGCTATAGCCTGGTAGTAAATTGTGTAGGCTGTTCTTACCTTAAAAAGTAGGCTGTAGATGGTTGTAGATCTTGTACGGCCACTGTATCTCCATCAACACTGTGAAGAGAACTTCCATATGTAAGAGATCTCACACACATTTAACAGCTAAGTAAACAGTCTTAATCTTATAAATTCAACTGACAAAGAAACACAGTTCTCCTTGACATTTGGATAACTAACCCACTTCATGAGTGTGCAAAATAACATTTAAAAATTTTTATTTATTATTTTTATTTTATGTGTATGAGTATATTTCCTGCATGTATGTGAGTGCACCTGTGTTGTGCAATGCCACAGAGGTCAGAAGAGGGCTTTGGATTTCCCTGGAACTGGAGTTAAGGACGGTTTGTAGCTGCCATATGGGTGCTGGGAATCAAACCCAGATCCTCTGTAAGAGCAGTCAGTGCTCTTAACCACTGAGCCATCTCTCCAGCCCAAACATAACATTCTTAATAGGCTGTGGCCTCTGCTGAAGAGCAGCAGCGCCTCACTGAGCACACCAAGTTCCTGCTGGATATGATCAGGGAGGCATGCAGCTTTTACCGGTGAGAGGATACACCATGGAGCTGCTCAAGGTCTTCAAGGCAGCTGTTCAATTTCAAGTTCAAGAGGAACCCGAAGGAACTGAACAACATACTGGCAGTAATGAGGAAAGTGACTAAGAAGTACTGAACCTGTCCTGTCTGTCTCTTCCCTCAAAAAAACTTTATACTACACACCCAAAAATGATATTAATAATTCAAGATACTTAATTCACACCCCAAACTAATAGAGCTTTAAGCAATACAAATTTACCATTTATTACTGCATACTTTTAAATAAAAATAGTACAGATTTGCTTCTTAAATTTGATTTATTTATTTTTATTTCTTGTGTATGAGTGTATTGCCTGTATGTACGTAAATGCAACCATGTCAAGCAATGCTCACAGAGGCCAGAAGAGTGAGTTGGATTCCCTGGAACTGGAGTTATGGACAGTTGTTAGCCACAATGTTGGTGGGTAGGAACCAAACCTGAGTCCTCTGCAAGGGTAGTCAGTGCTTTTAACCGCTGAGCCATCTCTCCAGCCCCACAGATTTATGCTTTATAAATTTTATTTTTATTTTATGTGTATGAGCATATTGCCTGCATGTAAGTAAGTGCACCATGTTGTGCAATGCCCATGGAAATCAGGGGGCATCGGATTCCCCTGGAACTGGAGTTACAGACAATTAACCACCATGTGGGTGCTGGGAATCTAACCCAGGTCCTCTGCAAGAGCAGCCAGTGCTCTTAACCACTGAGCCATCTCTCCAGTCCCCCCACAGATTTGTTTTTAACTAGCTCATTTAAAATAGTGTATACATGAAAAACTTCAAAGAACACCATGTATCATGCAATTCATTCATTCTCAGAGGAACATATCTAAGGTGGAATTCTATTACCACATGAACAGAGGAATTATATTTCCATGCCTATGTCTTCCTGGGCAAATAGTTACAAGTACCTAGGTGTACTCTACAACCCCAAAGAATTCCTTCGGGTTGTAGACCCTAAAAAACAAATCCTAAAAAAGATAAGTGATTGATACTTTAAAGCAAAGCCTAATTAAAAACAAAGGGTGATCAGAGATAGTCAATGAATAGGCAAACCCTTCCTCCTCTTCTTCCTCCACTTCCTCACCATGCTGGGAGCTAAGTTTTATTTCTTTTTAAACTAGTGATTTTGTAAAGTGCATGAAATACCAGACAAAGACTGCCGTCATAATTTGTGCAAAAGTTAATTTTCCACTTTCCATCTTCTACCCAGTATAGTGGACTGTGGGTTGTAATTTTTTTAAAGAATACTTTATTATTTTTATGTGATGTGTATGTGTTTTGCCTGCATGTATGTAAGTGTACCCATGTCATGCCATGCCTGCGCAGACCAGAAGAGGAAGTTGGATCCCCTGGAACTGGAGTTAGAGACAGTTGTTTGCCACCATATGGGTGCTGGGATCCAAACCAGGATCTTCTGCAAGAGCAGCCAGTGTTCTTAACCTCTGAGCCATCTCTCCAGCCCCGTGGGTGAGAAATGAAAAGAGAAAAGTGAAAAATGAGAAGGAATTGGAGAGTTTTTTTTCTCCTTGAGCTCAAACTTGCCTAATAGGGTGGCTATAGCTGAAAATGAATGAGCTGATACTATGATTCAATGAAATTTGTGGGTCCATTTGGTAACCTACCACTATTTAGAAAACTATGTGAATTTGGAAAAAAATACTGAAAAATCTTTTGAGTTCAGCCTAGGTATAAGTTAGGGAGTATATGTTTAGACAGTATATTTGAACTGAATTATGATGAATGATAAATGTTTAAAAAGACTTACACATAAATGTTCTTAAAGTTTCCATTTTTACCACTGTCAGACAGTGCCAATTCAAATGTCATAGGATACTTCATATGATCACATTTTTCATTAGTGTTTGGTTTCCATGAAATAAAAGCGGATCTTGATTGAATATGAGAAACCTAAAATAATAAAAATGCAAGGAACATACTTAAAAACCATAATCTGTAATTTATAATACAGTCTTTTCTTAAGTCTTATTTAGTATTAGCTGTATTTTCCCACATTAGGTGCTTAGGTACTGCAATTAAACAATTAGCCATTAATCCCATCTTTATCAATGTCTTATTGGATCTTATTGCATTACTAAAGGAGACTATGAAATTTTTAACACAATACAAGATTTTGAAGTAATGCTTTAGAGAAAAAGAGCAGTGAATTTGCAGGGCTTAGACTGACAAGGTAAATGAGTATTAAATATTTGCTTTTGTTACTCACCACAGGATTTTCAATGTAGGAACAGCATGACTGTGTTCTCTGTTCTAGTTTGTATTCTGAAAGTAAGAAATAAGAAACCCATCCCAAACATAATATATTGGTAAAAAATGAGAGAAAAGTGTTTGATCTCTGTTATCACTGTTCAAATATATTATCATCATGAAAACTTTAAGCACCTAATAACTTAAATTAAAATATTTAAAAGAGAATAATCCAAACCAGGCATGGTAGGTACTTGCCACCAAACCTGATGACCTTTGATCTGGGACCCCACATGGTCAAAGAAGAGGACATACTCCCAAAAGTTGTCCTCTGACATTCCTAGCCCCCCAACACAATAAATAAATAAATAAATAAATAAATAAATAAATGGAGAGATGGCTCAGTGGTTAAGAACAGTGACTGTTCTTGCAGAAGACCCATGTTCGAATCCCAGCACACACATGTCAACTAACAACTGTCCTTAACTCCACCTCCAGGGAGATCCGACAGTCTCTTCTGTCCTTTGCAGGCATTGCACGACATGGGTGCACTTACCTACATGCAGGCAATGCATGCATACACATAAAAAATAAATAATAAATAAATACATGTAATAAAATCTATTTAAAAACACACTGAGATTCTAAAGCATTTGGCTGAGTACCCATTGGCTGTGAAGCCAAATTCCAGGGTTTACCTTTCAGTGCTGCATTTGATGCCGGGCTCTTCTCTTTTCCTAGGATCTGCTTATTGTCTGCACTTCCCATATCATTCTCCATTTCCTGATTGTTTTCAGTCTGAGCTATGGCAGCATTGGACATGCTGTCAGCACTGGAAAGACTAAGAGCATTATCGACTGAATCCTTTTCAGAGACGGAAGTGTTGGGAGCACCCTCAGAAATAGAGCCTGGCGTACTATCAGTATTTGATGATCTAGGAGTTTCTTCAGAGGTCTTTGGAGTGAAACTAAAACTGGAAGGGTCCAGAGTGCTATTAATGGTGTCAGAGCAAATAGTAGTGTCAGAGGTAGAAGTGCTGGTGGTGTGGTCAGGGGAAAAACTGCTGGTGATTTCGTCAGTAATGTTAATGTCTGGAAGACTGTCAACAATGTATGTACTTGGAGTACTGTCAGCAGTAGAAGTGCTTAAAGTAGTATTCAGAGGGTAGGTGCTTAAAATATTGTTATCAGTGTGAGTGCTTAGAGTATTGTCCACAGTGTATGCACTTAGAATACCGGAAGTACTAGAAATATCACTGACTTTGTTCATAAGCAAAGTGGTGTCAGTGAACGCAGAGCTATTCTTAAGTTCGCCAACTTGAAAATCTCTCATTTTCTTCTTAGAATATTCTATGTTAGCAGCCTTTTCATCAAACTGGTTATGATATATTCTTCCGTGAGAATAGATTTCTAGAAAAGATAATGTAGCAATGTTCAGTAATAATAATCATCATGTAGCTCAAGTTCTTTCTTTTACATAACCAACAAAAAAGCACTGGTAAGACATGCTTTACTTAAATTTTTTCCCATACTTTGCTTCAATACAAATATTTGGTATTTATGTGTAGGTTCTATGTATAAATATGATCTTATAGATACAGAAAAAGAACATGAGCAAATACAGACAGTATTTTCCTTCATAGTAACTTCACTTCCAAATGTTAAGGTCATATGATGACTGCAATGATAATCCTCTAGTTTTTATATTCTTAATAGATGGCATTAATAATCAAGTTATTGTATAGACCAATTGGGAAAAATTAGTATTATAAATCACATGCTATAGTGAAGCACAACAAATAGAAAATTCCTTTTAATGAGTATTTTGCCTAAGTCATAAATTTCAGGCATCATAATCTTTTTGCCTATAGAGTATCATCAGTCCCAATGTATGTATCTTCTACTTTTCCTCTTTAACAGCTGCCCAATATATTCATTTTAATAAACTGAAAATATTTCCTATTTTTGTGCTTTTATGGAATTTCCTGTTTTAATTGCCATATATTCATTGAACATTGTGATGGGTTTCTTAACGTTATTTTCATACAAGTATATCATGTACTTTGGGCATATCCAACCCCCCCTTTCCTTTCCCCAACTCCTGCACTTCTCTTTCATTCCCTTAGATAATCTTTCTTTTTTTGTCTCATGTATCCCACACTGGCCTCAAACCTTGAACTTCTGATCCTCCCACCTCCTCCACCTCCTGAATACTGAGATTCCAGGCATGCACTTCTATGCCTGCTTTTCTGTGGTAAGGGGTGAAACCCAAGGCTTGATGTATGTTAGGCAAGCCCTCTACTAACTGAACAATAGCTCCAGCTCCCAGACGGTCTCACGTCTACTTTCATGTCACACCTACATTTATATCTCAATGACAAAGGTTTACATTTAAGAAAAGTATGTACCACGATGTTCTTGATATATAAATGGTGCTGTTGGTGGGGGCAGCGCTGGTGGTGGTACTAGTTGTGGAAGTGGTGCCAGCTGCTGAATAGGTTCTTGGACATAAGGCATTGGAAATTCCCCTTGAGCTGGGGGATACATAAGCTGAGGGGCGGGTGGATACATAAATGAGGCTGGTGGTAGGAAGGTTAATGGTTGTTGCATAGGTACAGTCATCGGCATGTGATAGTCAGTTGTGTGAGGCACAACAATAAGTTTCTGAATCCCATTTTCTTCCACCACCTATAACAGAAGACATAATAATATAACATTATAACACACAGAAATCTTCGTTATTTTTTAAATTTTGGATTTATATCATGCTGTTATAGCATTTGATTTTGAAATAGAATGTATTCAAAATTGATAATCAGGAAAGATAATTATTCTCTTTTCCCATGCAGCTAGCTTTCTTTTGAGACAGGGTCTCATTCTGTAGCCCCTAGAACTCACTATGTAGACCAGGACAGCCTTGAACTCACAGAGATCCACTATCTCTGCCTCCTGAGTGCTGGAATTAAAGGTATGTGCCACAGCCAGGCATGCCTATTATGGATATACCGTAGTCACTCATTGACAGGCATAGGAGTTGTTTCTAAAGTCTTTTGTGATTATAAACAGAGCTCTAAGTAATGGTGTGTGTGTATCTCATTCCAAATTTATAACAATATAGCTGTATGATAAATTTCTTAAAGAGCAATTGCTGAGCAAAGAAATATATGAATTTGTATTTTCACTAGATACTGTTTAACAGATAACTCTGTTTAGAGTTAATGTTTATTATATCAACTAATTTAGCATGCTCTGGATCTACACTACCATGTAATACACACAACCAAATAAGCAATGAATGCAAGAACTATGAAGAAGCTATGAAGAAGCCATATTCTCTAGTATTAAATTTCCAAGGCCACCTTTGTAGGAATATCTTCCAAATATTTCAGGAGTTTCTTTTTTTTAAAAGTGTGTATGAACATTTTGCCTGCATTTATGTATATATGCATCATGTGCATGCCTAGTGTCTGCAGAGGACAGAAGAGGACATCAGATTTCCCTGGAATAGGAATTAACAGTTGTGAGCCTCCATGCAGGGGAACCAAACCTGGATCTTCAGCATAAGCAGCCTGTGCTCTTAATTGCTGAGCCGTCTCTCCAGCCCACTTGAGGAATTTCTTAAAAGGATTCTTAGCCCTCTGAGAATGAAATACTACTGAATTGAAAATGCTAAATGATTTTAAGGACTACAGGTCATTATTGCAGCAACCGTAATGGTTCCTGAGGTGGAGTAACAAACTTCACAAAACAATGGAGGATTACCAAATATTACATGATCCAAATTCAGTAAGCAATTATGTTCATTTACAAGGCAATTTAAGGGAGGTTTGGTTAACATCAATCACTTGAAATAATTACATTTAAAGGTTTAGTTAAAAGCAAGTTTTAAAGCAAAGATAACAGTAAAGTGAGTAAATAAATCATCTTTCAGAAGTTCTCTTATCAAACAACGACATAGTGAAAAAATTTAAATGATAATTTAGCAAGCCTGTAAACAAAAATCACACTAACGTACCTGAGATATATAGCCTGGAGGAAGGTATATTGGAGGCAAATTACCCGTGGGTGCTACCAAAGGTACTTCTGCAGGTCCTAAGAGGATTATTAGTAATGAATATCGTTGTAATTTTAAGCAAAGTCCATTAAAGAAGCCAGTTACATTTTCATGGTGCAAATGAGCACTGAGTTGGAACAAGAGTCATTTTGAAAGGTTGTTGCTGTTTGCTAACGAAGCTGATTCACCAAAGTATAGGTGTCATTGAAAATTCATTACAACCAATGGAATCTAATCAAGGCACACAGTGAGTATTGGGTACAATTCATATTATGAAAATTTTTGGCAAGTTTACTGCAAATGAAAATGAATTATCAGGCTTCTGTCCATTTTCTCACACTTAGCTTATATTGCTTCAAGTCATACTCCATACCATAAAATAAATTTCTTTTGATGTTATCTAATAAAAATGAAATGATTTTTTTCATTTTAAGGCTTTCTTCTAATAATATTAAAGTGAAATATTTTTTAGGAAATGATCCAAGATAAAGAAGGACCTAGTACTCATGCAATGTGCTACTTTTATATTAGGTATTCTTATTATCTTAAACATGCATTTATGTAGCAACTGAAAATACAGATTAGATACTTGCATATCACCATTTATTGGGTTATCTGAAATTATTAAAATTAGTACTTAGTTCTAATGATACATGTAGCTTTAAGGTCCTAGAATGGATTTTTTTAATAATGGAAAAGTAATAACTGTGAGTTCATGATAAACTTTATGTAGCAACCATTTAAAATGTATTGCCAGATAATAATAATTTTAGAAATTCTTGAAACATAAAGGCAGACACAAAAAGGCCAATTACAAAAGCAGAAATTCCCACACTTTGTCAGACTCTGACTACTTGGAGTCTGACTTCACTGACTTGTGATGTCTTATATAAACATTTGGAATCTAACTTTTAATGAACTATACATGACATCTTACCCCAAATGGTCAATCTTAAGAAAGAAAAGTGGTACTATAAAATTGACTACTTAACAAGATAGTGGGATGCCTGTGTATCTATTTAGATATGGACATCACATAAACGGAATGAGATAAGACCAAGTAACTTTCCTCAGCTATATAAAAGAAATCTCACTTCCTTTCAAGGGGTCCTTTCTTTGAGAATTCGTGTGCTGCATCTCTGTCTCAGCAGCATATTTTCTTCTTGTTATTTTTCTTTTATTTTTTATGTGTTTGAGTGTCTACATGTACATATGTGCACCACCTGTGTGTCCCTTGCCCAAGGAGGTCAGAACTCTTGGGACCGGAGTTAGAGACAACTGCAGTTGCGAGCTAACCATGTGGGTGCTGGGAATTGAATCTGGGTCCTCCGCAAGAGCACGTTTTTAACCACTGAACCATCTCTCTAGCCCTTCTTTTTATTTTTTTGAAATTTTCATGCATGTATTCAATGTATCTTGATCATCTCCATCTCCCCAACTTCCTCCCTTCAGCTCCCTCCACCTCCCAACATATCTCCAATCTTTCTTTCAACTTCATGCCTTTTTAAAATTATAACCTGTAATTCCAATTAGTGCTGCCCATATGCACATGTGTATGGAGTGTGGCATTATTTGCTGAGACACAGACAACCTCAATGGTTGCCCCTTCCCTGAAAGAAAAGTGATTCTCCCTTCCTCATCAGCCAGTTACCTGCCATTAGCTCCTCAGTTAGGGGTGGGACCTTGGGAACCCCTCACCCTTCCATGCTGAATTTTTTAACTATCTTGATCTTGTGACGGTCTTGTGTATGTAACCATAGCTGCTGTGAGTCTGTGTGTGGAACAGCCATATCATGTCCAGAAGCCAGTCTTTCACAGCACTCCTATTCATTCTCTGGCTCTTGCATTCATTCCATCCCTCTTCCAAGTTAGCCCCTGAGCCTTGTCGGGGGAAGGTGATATAGATGTTGCATCCAAAGCTGACCACTCACAGTTGCTTATCCTTAGCATTTTGAACAGCTACAAGTGTCTGCGTTAAACACTACTCTGTAATAAGAAGCTTCTATGATGAAGGCTGAGAGCAACCTAAATCTGTTGGCTCTAGGAGCTAGGAGGTGAAGTGTATTTTGCTTAATTAATCTTTTCTGTGTCTGTTTTGGTCTGGTAAAAGTAAATACTTTTACTGTGGTGCCTTTGGCTTGTTACTGTTGTTCCTGACACATTTGAAAAAACATATTTATTGAATTTTTGAGAATTTTATACAATGTATTTTGATCATATTTATACCCCCTTCCCCATCAGTACCTCTCCTTCCTAACCCCATCCTATTTCATGTACTCATACACACACACACACACACACACACACACACACACACACACACACGTTTAAGGCCCATACAAATTAGCTTGACAACATTTCAGTGTACGGGAACTGTCTTCTTGCCTGTCTTGACTTCTCTTTACTCTGGTGCTTGTGGTAGTCACCAGGTGGCCTATGGGCAACTGTACGTCTCTGATTGGAGCTGTTTTCAGTGAGATCCAAAGGCTTCTGGGCTACGACTCTGGACTAACGTCATTCATCAAGGAGTTCTTTCTCGCTCCTTGTTTGCAAATGAAAGACCCTGGCCAAGTCTACTTTTTGGTGGAACCCAAAGAGACTGGAGAAAGGAGGACAGCCTAGTAGAAGTCTGTAATGGCAGGGAGCCGCCTTGCTTTACTTCCGAGAACCACTCAACACGTGGTGTGGCTGGCAGCTTGTCTGGGATGAATGCACATATGTTGTGAGGACTCCCACTTCCTTTGCCTCTCTTACTCCTTTTCTCTGCCACGGTGTTTGATGCTGTTTTCCAGAATGGGAGGGAGTAACCAGGTTTTCACTTTTTCTAGGACTATAAACCCTCTTCTTTCCCTCACAACTGTTTTGTGATCAATTTCAGTTTGTGAGATTTCTCTTCAAGTTTGGTCTAGCCTGACTAACTGGAAGGGTTTGGCTCTGGAGTGCAACTGAGTTTCATCTCTATGAGTCGAGTCTCTGTTCTCAGAGGATGCCCCAGCTTAGAGCACACCTCAGTCAAGTCAGTATGGTGAGACTGGATTTCACCTCTGACAACAGGGGAAGTCCATTACCCTCAAGAGGTATTCTCTAGGTGAACACTGCATTTCTGGTCATATCTATGCAATGGGTCTCATACCTTCTACTCCCTGATTGAACCCTGGGATGTAATTTCAAAAATTGATCTTCAGAATCTCAAAAAGAAAAAATCCTTATTTTCCTTTGTAATAGAGTTTGACTTTATACCCACTCCAAGATCAAGAATGCTGGCTACCTCATGGCACATTAAATGATAGCTGCATCCTACGATTAGATCTCTTTTGCTATAATTCAGGAAAAGACTCTGAGGCCCCTTATATCCAAGCCTCCATGGCCTTGTCACATGATCCTCAGCTGTGAGAAGGATGGCCTATGTGCCTTAATAGATTCTTGTACAGCAGTCCATCTCCTCTCAACTTAGCCTCGGATGACATCCTTGATAATTTTTCATTTGTGAGAACTTAAGACCCTGCTCAAACCTCTGGTTTTCCCAAACAGCAACTAATCTACTTGTGTGCTGATCACCCCTTCTTTGATTTCTTCTCCTCCTTCTTCCTCTTTACTTGTGGAACGTTCTCCAAATGCTTCTCCTTAAATATGGTTTCTCTTTCAGACACTTGCTCTAAAACTTCATGTAGGGAACTCAGGGAACAATTAAAAACCGGCCTCTCTCTCACATAATAGCTTTTGCCTTCCCAAGGTGGCTAATAGGGAACTTGGCACCATTCAGATACATGTCACTTTCCCATGTCTGACCTGTTCCAAATCCAACCCAAACTAGAGTAATTTAGACAGGATCCTTCTGCCTTCATTAGAGAATTCAAGCACTGTGGTTGTTGGTCTAATCTGATAAGACATCTATACCATCCTAACCATCTATTATACACATGAGAAGTATTGTACCTGGTGTTTAACATATGAATGGACTGATGAGTCCCATGCTTATAACCCAGTCAGTGAGGCCATACCCTATTGTGGTACCTGATATGGAGTCTCACTAGTCATATCAGGACACTAAAGTACAAACTGACAGGGGAAGTATTCACCAAGACTGTATGATTACCTGTCTTAGAGGGAATGAAAAAGACCCTGATTAAATCTAATAATTGTAACAAGTTGTGGCAGATAACACAGGGCACTTCCAACAGCCCTACTTGCTCTCAGTCTAGGCTAGCTGAAACCATGTGTGTAAGTCAACTAATCTGGCTGACTTTCAGAGAGCCAAGCTGTCATGGCTGTGCATTTTATAAGCCAAACCTCTCTAGATATAGATAAAAACTTCAAGAAGGCATAAACTCATTATTTCATTTTATTAGACATGGTCTTCAAGATCGTTAATAACCATGAGGAAATCTCAAAAGCCAGAGGGGTCAAAACAGAAGAGGAAAGAGATAAACAGCAAGCTCAACACATGACTCCTGTAATCGACCACTCGTTGCCCTTCTCAGGAAATCCTAGAGCTCTAGCTAGTAGTCACCCTGTTCAGTCAGAAGGAATGAACTCAGCTATGTGTCCGAGGATTCTTTCCCATTACTGTTCTGGTTAGCAAGTACATTTCATCAAGGAATGCTCAAAGCTACTGGATTATAAGCCTCCCCCAGGGACATGTCTAATCCACAAAGTACAGGCCCACTAGTAAGTGCTCACTGAAAGCAAGAAAGTCCCTCTGTTCTTTGCGAGGGAAGGCCAACTTCCCTCCAAAGACCCCATGCTCAGATCAAACCTAGAAAAGGTTTCACAAAGCCATGGGCTTTGTGAAACAAGAAGAGCATGACTAGGAGTCAACCCATTCCAGCCCTCTGCCCTCTTGTGAACAACATTCTAGCTTGAATAGCCTCCTCCTGTGATTACATTCCAGCTTGAACAGCCCCTCTTTCCTGTGGCTAGAAGTTTCAGTTTCTCAAAGTCAACTTCCCGAAGTCAACACCACTAATACCATTCCTGCACATCCTAGTTTAACCATTAACACTACCTGGTCAAACCGGACTACAGCCCCTTTTCCAGC